CAACACAAAAACACTACAAACCCAAAACACACCCCTTCCTTTAACAGTGAAGAGGACATTTTGGATATGAAGGGCACGTTGTGCCCAAAAGCTTGTCTTCTTTTCCAAAATACATAGTTGGTCCAGTAGACTATATTACCAAACAAAATAGGCTTCTCGCATATTTCCTATACCATAAAGGCTAAAACACTGCCTGGAAACATCTCTCTTTTCCTTTTCAAACACTGCCTGGACGCATCTCTCTTTACCTATTGATGTCTGAACTAAGTGAAATAGGTATAGTCTTAAAAGGTAGGCTATTTGAATTTATCAAAAAGTGGGAGCAGAAGATAATAAGAAATACAAACAACAGCTATAGGGACTGATGAAGGAAGAAAGTAGGACTAATATTGTGAGAACTTGATAAAGCTAACAGTTTATGGAGGAAAATACCAAAATATCAGAGTTGAATAATTTAAGTATTTTTCAAAGAATACAATTATTGAAAGGAGGGAGTCCAAGTTAATGAGCTGCTCAATGGTAAGAGTGATAAAGACAAATGACAAGTATTTTCTAGACACAAGTCACTTATTTGAGAAACAGGATTTTTGTGGGCGATACCTTTTTGGTTTGAGGAAACAATAGAATCAAGAGGTAATCAGAGTACCTGCTGACTTTTAGAAAACTAGTTGGGAACAGAAGGGGTACAGTGCTATGGAAATGAGCTTGACTCCATATTAGTTTATATTGTCTTTGTTTTTGGTGACATTGGGCCAAAAAAAGCAAGCTGAAGGAAGTGATCATATGCCCAGTTTTGAAAAAGGGAATGTAAAGGACTACCGTGGGAGTTTCTTCTTCATTACAGCATCTCAGATCTGCTCTCTCATTTACATATATGCCCTTTATGCACATGAGATAAGGACAGCATTAGTGAGGATTGCAAGAGAAAAGGTTTGTTGTGGATCAAATACTTTCAGTTCAACTGCTCAAAACATGAGATACAATCAAAATGCATAATTCATAAATACTGAGATATTTTCTAGGATTGGCCCTCTTAGCCATCCATGGATTAATTAACATTCCTTTACTTAACCCCTGGGAGTGATCATCCTCAACTGTGAAGGATCATTGCTGCCATAGACTGTAAAAATATATTAGCATTTCACAAAAATGGCCTCTGCTACAATTAAAGAATGTGGAATCCAATACAAATATTAAAATTTCAGTTATATTATCTGAACAACTTTAAATTGAGTGAAACATCTCCCGTATTTAACCTAATTATAAAATTGGTGTAGATGCACTATTCCAGGTATTTAATGTGGATAAAGGAAAATTGACGGAATGATTTTTTTTTTTTTAATCTCATTTTGCACTGAATGTAAATAGCCTTCATCAACTTTCTGGATATATAATATGGTACGAAGGTAGTTGAGACTGGAAATAGGACTAGTCAAAAACAACAACATGCCTGGTTATAAACCAAAGAGAATAGCTTAGATTCCTGGCTGCTAGATGACTAAGGTATCAAATCAGGCAATTTACATACTAGGAGAATTAATTTCTTCCCTCATCTAATTATTAGTAATTAAGAAATATCTATTTTTCTCCTCAGGAAATTTTTAGCTCTAAGCAATGAAAAGGCCATACTTCAGAAACAGGAAAATCAATTAAAAGGGACACTTGTGTATACCAACTTAAAAAAAAAAGAAGAAAAACTAAATATGGTTTAAATATGTTACTTAATTCAAGTGGCTGTAGAGGAAAATATATAATTGGAAACTGCAGGGAAAACCAATGACCTCATCATAGGACATATCATTGGGGTAAAGGAAAACAAAGTATCAGTTTCTTTTGTAAGGCCTTCATGCTAATCAAGGAGAGGATGGAGAAATAATAATGAGGGAGACTAAAGAGTTGCAGTATGAAGCTACCAACAAACAAGGTGAGCCTACATGAGACATGAACTGCACAGTAGCTGAATAATGCTGCACAATAGCATGTCACAGCACAAACAGTACTAATACGCTACTGCACAGTATTATCCGGCTACTGAGCAGTAGTGCACCCACAGACCCCTATGCTTGGCTAGACTTTGGTCCGTTACCTCTCAGGGAAATGTACTAATTAAGTTATGGGTGCAGGGCATGATCCTCTAAACTTTTTGGACCTGTTCCAATTTTTCGTTTTTATATAAATTG